TAGACTTCAAAATAAGAAACCCAAAACCAAACCCACAGCTATTTTTTTCAAGTTCTAAAAAAAAAGTTGTATTTCCTTTTTAAATGAATCTCTCACCACTTAGTATGAACTTGCAGTTCTGCAAGACACAGAGAGCTTTTTTCAGCAGATGCTAAACCTGAAGTCTGTGGGAGATCTAAGGAAGTGGTTAAAGGTGAGCATGTGCTCAGGCGCTTGCTGATTTGGGACAGAGCATTCAGTGTTTTCTGAGCTGTGTCTTATGTTTCAAAGGAAGGACCTTTGTTTTGCCGAAGGATTCATTTCTATTTTGCTATGTGCTGAGAGCTCAGGATAATCTCGTTTGGAGAGAAGAAGAGAGGAGGGAAGGCTACACTTGGGAAAAGCTATTTTCAGTAGCTCTGTTTTCTCTAACCCCAGTTTCCTAATTATGATCAGCTAATGCTGGCAGACTGCTTCACAGAAATTAAACCCCATTATGCAGTGCAAACAAGTCAATGAGGCCTGGAGTTGGACCCTACTTAAACATAAGTAAAATAAAGATCCCCCGTGGCTTTTAATTCCTTTTTATTTAGTTACTTAATTGAACCTGCACTGTTCTTCCTCTGTAATTGATTACCACACAGAAAAGGTAATGAAACAGAAAACTTTATTTTCTTTCCAGTAATCTTTATGGTTATCATGGAAATGTTTTTACTGCTTCCTTTTGGGACATAAAAATTCTCCATATAACCAAAGGGAAATCAATGTTAGTTAATTGAAGGCATTTACATGGTTGGAAATTAAAAGTTGTGTGGGTTTTGTTGTTTCGGTTTGGAGTTTTTCCCCCCCTTTTTTCCCCCCTCTGGTAAATCAACTCAGATTTTTCAGAATGACGATTAATCTGGCATTTTATTGTCCCTTTCTTTTTTTCAAAGCTGAATCACAGAGTCTGGGGGCCTGGTCCAATACCCACCAAAGCCAAATGGGAATCATTCCACCTAATTCAGTGGCTTTGGATCATGCTTTAGAAGGACATATTCAAGACACATTTATATATGCAGAACATACACAGATGCTTACCTGTTCTGCATGGCATTTGTCGTAACTGGGATTAATTTCTGACAGAGAAGGAAAGTTTGGGGTTTTTTCCTGCCTTTAAAGAAAAGCTGATGTTAATTCCCAATTCGATGATGTCCTTTAAATCTCATTCTTCTCATACTTTTTTTCTCTGTTGCTTTAATTTTTGAAGCTTGGTTTTCTTCCTTTTGTACGTTACCTCTTCTCCTCTTCTCCCTTTTTATTTGTGTGTCCCGCTGCCTTTGGCAAGGGTCTCATGGACACAGTTCACCCAGCACCCAGCACTGCATCCAGCCTCCCTACCCTTTGTGAAGCTGTGGGGATTTCTCCATGATGCACGGGACTGGCTGAGAGTTAAAGGACTCAAGTCTGAATGTCCAAGGCAGTTGCCAACTTTCCCCACCCCTTGCCTTTATGCATACAGTTTTTTTGCCTTGGAGCAATTTTAATAAAGACTATGTAACAACATGGTGTTGGCATAGCATGAGCAACATTATTCCATCTGTTTCTAGGGAAAATGTAAAAACGTGTTAGTATAACATTAAGATTCCAATTTTCAACCATTAAAAATCAGGCAACACTGAAGTTACAGACTGCTTTCCTAGCTATTTAGTGATTTTCACTGCCTTTGTTTTTTTGGAACTCCAGTTCAGATGCCTTTAAAAAATGTCTCATGTCCAATGAGCTTTGAGCACCCATCCTTGGAAACAAAGGGTCTCTTAGCTATTTGAGTCTGGGCAGCCAAAATTATTGCTTTCTGTTGATAGTGCTGCAGAGCTGAAGTTTTAAAGAGTATTTAGCCTCTCACTGTAGAGGTGAATGAGGATTGTAAAACATTCATCTTAACTTCTATGAGAATTAACCTTACAGTATACAGTAGGCTTGAGCATGCTAACTTTAATATTTTGCCAAACTCAGATTGGTATAAAAAAGGGCTTTAAGGGGAATATTCCGTGGTTTTCTGAATCGGGGCCTTAACACTTATTTTTTATTTGATTTTTTTTTTGTGTGAATAATTATAAAGATACATCAGGCAGAGTTTTCACTAAACATCACATTTTAAACAGTGATGATAGAATATCCTGTCAGTGCAATTTTGGTTATTTGTGCCAAAAGTCTCATTTTGAAGAGCTGTGCTGGTACAGTCAGGAAACAAAGTAATGCAGCATGTGGCTTCCTGGCATTTGTGCCAACTGAGAACAGCTTTCACTGTCAGTGCTGCAAACTCAAAACAATATTCACAGGGAGATATCCATCAATGCAGAACAGTATTGAGCAAAGTGTACAAACAAGTGATCAAGGAGTGAACGAGGAAAGGTTCATAGCGGACCTGAGACTATGAACAAGGAAGAACTGGTTGGAGACATGAAGGTCAGAGGCAGCCTTGGCTGCAGTGACTGTGGGGCTGTAGAGTTGAAGACCCTAAAAGCAGGCCAAAAAGCAGGATCACAACCCTGGATTTCAGAAGAGCAAAATACACCTGCTTGGAAGAATCCTATGGAATATGGCCCCAGAGAGGAGTTCAGGAGTGGTGGGTGCTCAGAAAAGGACCATTCCCAAGGGTAGGAAATCAAGCAAACGTGGCAGGAAGCCTGTATGGTGAGCAAGGAGTGCCAGACTGGATTTAGACATACAAAGGAAGTGTTTGACATTGTAGAAGGCTATTAGCTTAATTAAGCAAGACTTCCCGTTTGTAAATCCATACTGACTGTTCCCAACCACATTATCCTTCAGGTGTTTGGAAATGCTTTCAGGACAGTTGTCTCCATCAGCTTCCTTGGGACTAAGGTGAAGCTGACCAGTCTGTAGTTCCTCCGATTTTCCTTATTCCTATTCTTGAAGTTGGAGGGATATTTTTTCTGCTCCAGTCATCAACAGAAATGGTTTGAATTTAAGCAGCTGACATCCATAAAAGTATTTAAAATTTTCCGTAATACTTAAATAGTTCAAGGCCTCATTCACATTCATCCTTGGAGTGTTATTGTATTAAGTTCCTGCTAAAAAGTAATTCCCTCTTTTTAATAGATATTACAGGTATGTATGGATAACATAGTCAACTTAGAGCAACAGCAAGTGACTGTTATAACATCAGTTGATGCACGTAATACGTTCAGTATATTGTACTGCTTATTAGGTACCACAGTGGTTCTGAGATGATTTTAGTGATGGTGGTGGTGGCAGAAGCAGGGAGATTGTTGATTTTCACCCTTTTTATTTTCTTCTGCGTGTTTTACTTTCTGGGTGTGAGGCACTAGAGTGCGTCCAGAGAAGGGCAACAAAGCTGGTGAAGGGTCAGGCATTGGAACACGGGAAGCGCTTGACTAACCATCTCTGGAGGTATTTAAAAGACATGTAGATGTGCTGCTTAGGGACATGGTTTAGGCACGGACTTGGCAGTGTTGGATTAGTGGTTGGGCTCGATGATCTTAGACAGCCATCTTTTCTACTCTAAATGATTCTATAATTTACTGTGTATGCCATAGTAATCCATAGTAAGAGAGAGAAAAACGTAATTTTACGATGGTTGCTGTGCTGTCTGATACAGTTGCTTGCAAAAAATGCAAGCATGTGCTGAGAAGCTGCCTCTCTGTTCCTGCTCAAACTTTCTGTGAACGTGGCTCCGCTTGTGCTCCCTGACACCAAGTACTTGTGAGCTGGCAGCATCCCCAGCAGCTCTGGGCTGGCCCTCTGAGACTAGGATGGGCCTGTTCCCCAGCCCTTGACAGTGCTCCATCATGAGAGAGGCCCTGGGAATGGTCCACATCCCCACAACTGCTGGAACTGGCTGCTATCAAATCTTTTTTTTTTTTTTTCATGAGGTGTGACTAATCAGAGTCATCAAACAATAACCTTGTAAAAATGACTTTTTTAGAGCCATGGAAACCACAAGATCCCATTACAAGCCATTTCATTTTCAGTGACTAATGGAAGGCCAGCAGTAATCAGACAGGAGGAAATTCTTAACTCTTTCTCAGGTTCTCTTTTTCCTCTTTAGTAAAAACAAAGTTCACTAATAAATGAAATTTAGCTCAGAGGGGTGTTCTTTATACATGCTTCACCAGTGCCTGGCTAGTTGACAGAAGACTGCCAAATGTCTGTACAGGTTTCTAGGTTTTCCTGCAAAAAGCATTTGCTGCTTGTAAGGTATATTTCAGCTACTTCAAAGGTCTCAAAACAGCTGCTTTTTTTTAATTCTTTTTTCTTTTCATTCCTATTTGCGATTTTATAGATCATATAAGTGAAAGTAGTAAGGAGCAACATATCAAGGTTGCAGGCTTGATCCATGAGCAGATAAGCAGACCTGCATGGCCAGACAGTAGAGCAAGCTGGTTAACTCAGCGTAGCCGAGTCCTGAAGTTAAAATTGCAGAGCTGGAAGTCTCACTCATTAATTTAATTGCAGCAAATTAAGAAATGAAGAGGGTAAGAGGGCAAACACACAGAAACACACTTTTAAGCTTACAAAATATTGAGCTGCATGTGCTGTTGGCCCTATGAGTGTGATTCAACATAGGCCAGCTTTCAGACTTATGCAGAGATCTTGTAAGATTAATGTGAGCAGTATGCTGAAAGATGTAGAGGCACAAGATTCATAAGCAAGGGCTGGGAACTAAGCTTATGGCTGGCAGGATGGGCAGTGCATGACTGAAGTAGTGGGCTGTGGAGCATCATACACATTTTAATTATCAAGTGCTTTTTAGTGTCTGTTGGGGGTTTATTCAACTTAGGACAATTATATACATATGCAACAGTCTGTGCTGTGATGGACTCTGCGCTGTGCTTAATACTGAAGAAGAGCTATTGCTGGGGTCAGAGACCTACCCAGCCAAAGCTTCACTAAGTGACCCTGAAGTCAGCACAAGCATGTGTGATATAATGCAAAGGGTTGTGTGTCCTATTTTTCTCTCCCATTTCCCATCTTACATTCTCCTCTTTTTGGCTCAGTGCAAGTGAGTCCTGGACTGGACACTGGTCTTGCTTAGATCTACTTGAGAAATGGCACTTCTTCTCCACCTTCCCACCTCATGAAATCTCCAAGGGTGTGCTGAACTCGCCTCCCATTCAGAGGTGAACAGACTTAGGCAAGCTCTAAACAGCACAGGTAAGTGGGATGAATTTATTTTTTTGAAGTTTTCATTTCCCTTTGTATATAAAACTTCTAAAAATGGCTTATAATTGCAGGTGAGGAGATAGCTGTTAGGGACAAATAAGTGCCTGTGCAACTCCTCCCAGCCACAGTCTGGGGGAATTTAGGAAGCTGTGTAACCACAGCAATGCTTCTTCCCTACCTCAAGTAACTGGTGCTATTATAGGATTCGTTTTTTTTCAATCTGGCCAAAAATTCTTCTGTAAACTTTTTATATGACAAATATGAAGAGTGGCAAGGAATTTAATTCCAAGCCCTCAACCCTACAGGGTCTGAGGTGGGAGAACCCCATAATTCAGAATGAGACATGGACTCCTCATTAGCCACTCGATATTGCACCTGGCCTCTGGGCCATTTGGAGAGGTCCTCACTCAGGTGGTGTTGTCCCGGGTCCAAGAACCAGCTCCCACTTCCAAGCCCAGTGCCATGCCCAGCTGGGGTCACCAAACTGTGAGGTCTTGTGGATGCTGTGGAAAAGCTGTGAGTCACAAACATTTCCTGTAGCATCACTTTGTGTGGGTTTCTGCTCAGGGCTATATAAAAGCAAAGGCTGTGCTACCTCCAAGGACAAACACACATGGTGAAATTCAAGGGCTTCTCAGGTGGCTGCAGCTTCAAAGAAGCTAACTAAATGAAAAGAGCACTGTCAGAATGTCTGGGCCCTTTGGAGGTCCAGCTCATTTGAGCTGTTTAGTATCTGTGTACCTGTCACTTGGCTTTAGTTTCATCAAGTAAGGAAAGGTGATAAAAACCAAGGAAATGAGCTCAAGTGACCCCATGTGGGATAAATTGAACATAGTGACAGACTAGAGGCAAGAGCAGGCTTCCCTGACTACGGGAATATGCAACTGATAGATGTGATGAAATACATAAATGCTTCTGTCCTATGGATTTTCTGGTGAAAGAAAGGTGATGAGAAAAGAGGTATTTCAGGTTTCTTGTTGTAAAATCTTTAATAATGCCAAGGTAGTCTTCATGGTCTTCAGTGCCAGCAAAATAGCTGTTTCTTAGAAGCTTTAGAGAGAAGCATAAGAACATTTCAACATCAAAATGATGACTAATACCATTCTCTTCTCTATATGCTGTTATTGATCCTCTTAATAGCCCTCATTTATTGACTTCCTCTTCTGCAGTACCATGGGATCATTGACTAATGTTTTGAATCTAGAGGTTATTTGGTTAAAGATGAACCTTATACTTTCATTGTTTCTGTCACTTTACATCTTACTAACTGTGAGTTTCTTACAAGAAAATCATCAAAGTAAATAATTCTGTCCCACACTGTGGTGGTGAGTCCTGAAGAGAAAAGTAGGCTGTGTCATTTTTAGTACAGAACTGAAAGACTTGATCTGGGGATGCCCAAAGACAGGCCAAGCTGCTCCAACGGTAGAATTCATTCAAACTCAAGAATAAAAAGGGACAAGTTTCTATGAAATGGAGCTTAAATACTGCAGTCAGCACTTTGTCTAGCTTCAGAAGTAATGGCTGACAAAATCAATGTGATGTACTGTGCAGGGAACTGTACATCACAGAATCCATTCAAATGCATTCAGCGCAAATACTGAGTATTTGAAGACTTAATGTAATACACATTTGGTCAGGAGCAGAAATGGGGACAGCGTTAATACGGAGAATGTGAATTGGATCTCTTCCTGGGACATTGATTTGGATTGGAGCATCAGTAAAAGAGGCTTAGAAATGGTTTCACAATGATGGAAGAATTTGTATTGGAACAATGTGTGCAAATGTGTACATAAAACGGAGAAACTGATTGGAAGATAGATAAAAATATTGATGTGAAGGCCAGGTAAAAACCTAGTTTCAGGCCTAGTCATCTTACACAAGTGAAACACAATAACTGAGAGAGTATTTTAAACACTTCCTAAAATCCTACCTTGCCTTGACCTTTTCAAACTTACCATTAAGGTAAAAATGTGGAAAGTTAACTAATAGGGATCCTGAATATCAAGTTTTACCTTGGCCTTTCAGGTAGGTCATGCAGGAAAACTGTGCATGGCTCTAAGGACTACTGCAATATAATACAACACAAGTCTGGAGTGAATATGTAAATCTTTGAGATATAATATTTCACAAGCTAATATACATTGGCACTCATCAGCTGCTGTCTGAAGAGACGGTTTGATAGGAATTTGCTTAAGATCCTGAGGAAGTCCTGGATATAAGCACCAGACACAAGTGAACCAAAGCTGTCCTAAGATATTCAAGAAGCAAACCCATTAAAGACTGCAGGTGTGCTCTGTCCATCTGTGCCTTGGCAGAATATGTAACTCAACATCACCTGAAGCTGACATGGTGTAAGCGCTCATTGGAAGGACTGGCACATATGAGGTCATTTTGGCTTACCCTGCATACACCTGTCGTACAACATGCACAGTGAACTTGGACAGAGCTTTTTCTTTATCTTGTGGAGTGCAAAAGGAGAACAGACATAGAGATGTGCATGAGAAAGGTATTTTTCACTCTATATGAGAGTGTTAGGAAAGAACTGTTAAAGTTATTCTTTATTGGGAAGGTTTTGTGCTTAAATGGATCCTGGAAATGAAAAAGTTGTCCTTTCCTCCCCATTTTAAAAATAATTAAATTAGTTCAGCTGCAGAAACTTTAGCACTGATTGGGTACTGAGTATTAGCAGCTCACAGCTCCTCTGCAGTGTTGCCCCACAGGCTTTGACAGAATGAGGAGCACTAAACCCAGGTTTTGTTACCAAAGCAAAAATGCCTCTTGGTGCATGTGTACAACTACAACTTTTCCTGTGTATTCCCTTGTCAGACCAAAGCTGTCACTGCAGACTGCTTGGTAATACAGTACCACTGGACTGCTGTCTGTGTGCAGGTGTGAAGCTGTCACCCTATTGGTGTGATGCTGGTTTGCACACTGTCATCAGGTTGCTCCTGTCTCACCACATTCATTTCATGAAAGTATGAGTGTGCTTCAAGACATCCATGGGTACAAAGAAGTGTGTGTGCATGCATGCCATCCACTGTTCTTGAGGCGCAGAGCATCCTTTAAAAGGTAGGTCAGACTTCAGAATTAATATAAAAATATCTGTATTGGTAGGAAGTGATTAGAAGCGTTATTTTGTATAAATGCAGCTTTATTGAGTTCTTAATTCCTTAAGACTCTGCTTGCTCTGTTTTTGATTTTATAGTACCAGGTACAAATGCAAACTGTCGTTTTGTTGCATGGCCATTTGCAGTCTAATTTTTCTAGACCAGTCTGGTCAATTGTTTGCAGTACAAGGCAGGTGAACATGAGTGGATGAAGAAATAGGGATGGGAGGGAATATGCAGGATGTCAGCATTCCTTTGTCCCAGGCTCAGCCCTTGACAGGACTTGGGAGGGGCAAGGAAAACTCCAGTAAGAGCAGATCATTCTATGTTAATGGCAGATGCTTTTGTTTTCCAGCTCCAAACTGCTCGCTGTGTTGTTGTTTCTAAGGCCATGGAAGAGATAAATTGGGCCAAAATAATCCAAAATCACACAATGTGATCTTTTCTTGGAACCCATGTGCCACATAAGTTAAAACAAATTAATTTTAGAGCTAGTCTGTCTTCTTTGAGCTTCCTGACTTGAGAAGTGAGAAGGTTTTTATGATGTCTTTCATGTTGGAGTGCTCTGGAACTTCATTGACTAATACTTTTAATAAGGTTTTGATCTTGAAGGACAAGGACAATTAGTAAGAAAAAAATCATCTCTCATTTTAATATTTAGTTATTTTATATATAAATGATCATAACAGCCAATTCATTCTCCCTTGTATCTACTGATATTTGGTTTCAGAGGAGAAAGCTGCAGCCTGACAAGCAATGAAGTGCCTGCTTACCATTTGGTTTCTTCACAGAGATTGGATGTGGCAGCATCTGTTGTCATTATTGTTGCCTGAACCAGCTAGGAAGTTAAATATTTCATTATGATCATTTTGATACCTGCACTGATCTCCTGTGAATTTATAATGAAAGACATCATAAAACAAAACAAACCTCCCCCAAACAACTGTGTGTGTCTAAATCACCTACATATGTTTCTTGTTCCCAGTTATGTATGGGTTTCTTTTTAATATAACTCTTGGCATGAAGAAACCATGCTGGTGACATTGTTGGTATTGTTAGCCTAGAATGTTTTCAGTGACACCAAGTTTGTTGGGACAGAGTGTGAATTAGTTGTCAGTTCTTGAGAAGTCAAAATTTAATTGCTGATCAAATGTTTAAAATATGACTTGTATTAGCATGGGTTTTCATATAAATTCTTTCTTGTGACCATTAGGCAAGAAGCCAAAAAACTGGCAGCACGGCAGCCTCTGCTCAGCAGCTGCAATTTGGAAGTCAGCTCCAAGCTTCTATTCTGGATTGAAATTCTCAATTTATTTTTTTTTCCGAATTTTTTTCCCATTTTGGCAGGAATAACTGAAAATAAGTTTCATCATCATGGCTAGGCTTCACAAACAAAGATTTGGGAAGGGCTCTACCCACATTTGCTGCAAGTGCACTGGTGGCTAAAGAGGCCAATACGAGATAGACAAGTCCGGTTGCAAAAGGCACAGCAGAAAGACTCCTGTAGCAGTTTGAGCCACATTAGAAATCTAAAATCCAATTTTTAGGCTTCCCCCACCCTTTCTCAACAATTTATCCTAACATCGGAGAGAAACTTTCAGGCCAGAGGCTTCTGTAGGGTAAGGGGGAAGTATATACATTTATTTACACAAATAAATACTATACAAACTAAAGGCAACTATATATATATATATATATATATATATTACATTACTATCAGTCAGTCCTTTCAAGCCCCTCCTTTAACTTTAGTCCAGGAGCAGCCTTTAAGGCTGATATGTAACACAGTCTGCCGTGAGAGTGTTCTGGGCTCCTGAACACTCCCTCCTCACCAAGTTCCAGCAGTTGTTTGTTGTAG